CTCGTCTCTCTCCTCCCTCTCCCAATCTCGCTTTCCATATATACAAATACATATGTATAATATACAATTATCTAACCGATATACATATACAATTCACCTCTCTCCCACTCTTTCCTCTTTCTCGCTCGCCTCTCTCCTCTCTCTCCCAGTCTCGCTCTCCGCTCTCCTTCCTATAACATGTAGCTACGAATTGTAATTATCAAATTATAGCTATGGAGAGTAATTAGGCTATTTTTGAGTGGCTATATGTGAAAGTTCCTCATTAATATATAGGTTGTATTCGTTGGTACAAACCTTGCGAAATATTTTCTATGAGTAATAAATATTGAAACAAAATAGCGAGCTAGTTGCATTTAATTATTAACTTAGAAGTTAATTACTAAGATACATGCTAATTGTAATATTATAAAATAAAAATTGGTGTGTCTAGACACATCGCACACGAGATCAAAACTATGTGTAATTTGTTGTAGATATATTGTATCCAAGTGGATTTGCATATATCTGTGATACATAGAAAAATCTCGCTCGCCTCCTTCGCCTCCCTCCCATCTCACTCGTCACTCTCATATCTCGCTTGCGTATCTGGTATCCAAGATACATGCGAATCACACTAGATATATGTATTTAGTGTAATTCGCATGTATCTGGGATACATAGACAAATTTCACTTGCCTCTCTCCTACTCTCGCTCGCTTCTCTCTCAATTTTAGTGTATCGGGTAGCAAAAGAACATGTATTTAGGTGTATATGACTTAAAATTTAATAAAAAATTAATAATTAGTGAGATAAAATATAATTATTTCAAATTATAGAAACAATTAATAAATATGATAGAAATATTTATGTATTTAAACAATTTTTCCTAAAATTACTTAGCTATGGAACTATAGTGATTTCTATAATTTTCTCTATATTCAACTCTACTCAGCCGACTAAATAAAAATTGGGACGATGATTTAACAGCCGGTTGCGCCTTGGGTAATTTACCCACAATAGCCCAACCCGAGTCCAAGAGGATGAGGCTTATTATTATTATGAGAAACTTTGGCAAATAGCCACTATAATAAACTTAATTATGTTACATAGCTATAGTTTGCATATTTACTGGATGTAGCTACAGTTTAAGCTGCCTCGTTTGTATAATTTGCGGATTTGTATAATTCGCAGGTTTGTATAATTCGTGGGCACATTTGTATAATTTAGTTATTTTTTGTATTAACTCGAAATAACGAATTTATACAATTACAAACTTCAGAAGTGTAAAAATTTATACAAATTATATTATACAAATTTCAAATTATACAAAAGTTATACAAATTATATTATACAAATTCCGAATTATACAAACATGCGAATTATACAAAATTAAAAAGCTGAGCCGCGTAATTATAACTAAAAGTAGGTTGTGAATTGTAATTAAGACAAACTATAGCTATGTTAAGTAATTAACTAGTATATGTTTGCTTATACTTGTAATTTTCCCTATTATTAATGTATTTATATTATATGAATAGTGTATAATCATGTATATATGATGTATAATTATGTATATGACATGTATCATAAGTGATGATAAAGACATTAACATTGAAGGAATGAATTAACATGGTTAGTTGGTTGAAAATATTAACAAAAAAAGAAAAGAGATGTATGTAGGTTGGTTGGTTTGAGTTTTTGAAAGTTGTCAAATGAATATAGGTTGAAAATGAACAAAGGAAGGTTGATGTAGATGAGATGGCAACAAGAAATTATAATTAGGTAAAGAGTCAAAAACAAAGAAAATGAATTAGTTTATGTGAAGTACAATCTAATTTTATGTTTTGTTTAGAAATAGTAAAATTTCCTTTTTGACCATAATGATTTTCAACTTCCCCTAGTTATATGGAGTATAAAAATAACAAGATGTACAAATCATTTGCTTGAATTATTTTTTACTTTAAAGAAAATTACTATTATTTATTACATTCTCTTCAGTGGTAGGACAAGTGATTAGAAATCTTTTTTTGGTGGCAAATGACTTGTCAACAGAAGTAGAGGCCTCTAGACACTTCCAACTGAAACAAAGGTCAATTAGTACAATTATGAAATTGAAAATGCTTGATGAGGAATTAATTATTAATTACCAACCATACATACATTTAAGTAAGACCTGAATTATATTAAAAGATAGAATTCATGTAGTTTTGGGGAGCTTTGATTTTCATTACTATGTGTTCCTACTCAAACGTTGGTAGGTTATGTGGTAGTCGAGTTTAATATTATGATTTGATATCGCTACCATTTTGAAGGACAAAAAGCAAAATATGAAGCTGAATATAAATAAAGTCAAGAAGATTGAATTGACTTACTAATCGAATTAGACATTTTTATGACAATAAAAAGAAACGAAATTAAGGATTGATTCAATAACGGATCTTATATCACCGGAGAGATAGATACTATTATATTTAGAGTTGCCTAATTTTGAAGTACAAATATTCAAAAATAAGCAGTGTATTTGGAAATACAACTATGGAAAAATTAGAATATTATGCACTCTATCAAGAGAGAATATTTAGATTGAGATGGTTTAATCATAGTTTGCATCGACCTTTTGATAGAATGGTCCATAGATGTGAAAATATGCATAGTAAGTGAAGATGTACTAAAAAGAAATAGAATAAGCCTAAACACACATGAAAGGAAATTGTCTTGAATGACAGCATATTAATTATATGGTGAAATCAATACAAGTTTAGCAAAAAAAAGAAATAATTGATTTTTTTCTTTTTTGTGAAGATGATACTAATAAGTTGAGAATCTATTTCAATCATGTTGATTTTAGGTATACTATACTTTTTAAAAGTCATTAACCTTACCTCAATAATAACATTTCAATATAATTCTACACAGTAAAATCTGAAGTGGATAAAATATCGGCAAAACTTAAACTTACTAAAATATTTTATAGTAGAAGAAACTATGGAGAACTATATATTAATTATATATGGAGTACAACCCCTGTCTACCACTAATTTACTTTATCCTGCAATCTT